AAGAGGAGGTGCCCTCCCGCTGGGCGGTGGGTAAGGGACCCAGATGAGAGGCAGGCGGGCGGGAGGTGCAGTCTCTCCTAGACTCTCTTGCTCCTCCGTAACCATCAGCAGACAAGTGTCAACCCCGCCTGCGTGGGGTGTGACAGCCAGGCTCTGAGGTGAGGGTCTGGGTCACGACCAGCTAAGCCGAGGTGTGGCCGAGGGGGAGAAGGGTCTTGAGTGGAGGAGGAGGAGGAGGAGAGCCAGCTGGGGCCCCCAATCCACTACCGCCACGAAGGTGGCGTTTTGTTCCAGTAACTTCTCTCTAAGCAACTCCCGGGGCAGAGAGGCCCGCGGGAGCCCAGAGAGCCCACGCTGTGTTGTGTCTGGGGTGGGCCGGCTGCCGTGTGCAGAGCACCGGGGCCCTGTAAGATGCACACTCCCCCAGGGGCAGCCATGGCTCAGGACGCTTCCCTGGGCTGGAGCAGGGCTTTCTTGGGGCTCACTGCAGGCCGAGGCTGCCTGAACCTCTCCTCCCCCTCGACCCGCCCCTGCCCTTCAGCGGGGCAGCTCGGTACACCCTCGACGGCCGCAGGCCTGCTGCTGTTCCCCCCTTCCTTCTTCACGGGCCTGGCCTCCATTCTGTCACACGCTGATCCTGTCTAGGATGGGCCCTGAGATGACCCGGCCCATCCTTCATGATGAGAACAACAGAGAGACGCCCAGTGTGAGCCGAGGCCTCACCTCCTGGGCCTCTTCCTTGTGGAAGGTGTCCCGAGAGTGGGGGCCACTGGGTAGGCCAGTGCCCACAGACAGGACTGCACCCTGGGGCCTTCTCAGGCTGACAGTCCAGAAAGGCCTATGTGCTCAGAGGCTGGGGAAGGGTCAGCTGCGGAGGGGCTATGACCAGGCACCTGGGCGCCATGGCTGGAGAGCGGAGGGGTGTGGACCAGAACCCCTCGCCCTGGAAGACTGTGGCGTGGCTGCCTTTATGGACACACGCTGAGGAAGTGAGCCCCGTGGGGAAGCTCTCCCTGGGGCCCTGGATGAGGGGGTTTCCAGAGGCCAAAGTGAGTCCTTTAGCTCGGCCGGCAGAAACAAGACTTGGCGTCATTAGTTTAGCCAGTGGCCTGTCTCATGAGCAGCATGGAGCTGGGGGAGGCACAGCGGCCCATGGGGAGGCGGGTACCCCTAAGCTTAGGGCTCAGGCACTACGTGTTAAGCACCCCGACCCGGAGGGGCTCTCCAGCTCCCGCGGCCACACCACAGGCAGGCTGACGGCACAGCAGGGGCTGCGGGCTGACCGCAGGCTCTGCCCTGACCCCAGTGTGACCTTGGGTAGCTTGGCCCTCCTGGCTCTTGGGCTTGATGCTTTGGTCACCTGTAAACCGTAAAAAACATGACCGCTCCAGCCCTACGGTTTCTGTTTGACCTGTAAATAACCAAGCAAGCCTCATCTTGGGTGCTTGGGGCCAGGCGTGACTGGGCAACGTGTCCCCCCGCCCCCCCGCAGGTGGACACCGGTCAGCAGCCGCCCCCCGCGCAGCAAGGCCAGCGGTGGTGAGGGCGCGGCTGGCCGGCGAGGGCCGCGGTGGAGAGCGCTGTCACTGCCGGCTGTCTCCAGCTAAGCACAGCCTTCCGGCTGCTGCGCGCGGTCCCAGGATTCATAGACTGTGTGGGGAGAGCGTTTCCGCTGACGTCCGGCACAATTTAATCTCATAATCCAACACCAACGAAAAGACAAAGGTCCCCACGGCCAGGTTCCCTCCCTAAGCGTCTTAAATCTGTGCCCCCACGCCCCCTGCTCTCTTCAGCAGCGCTCACTGGCCAGGTCCCGGGCTGGCACAAGGCGCGGCACAAAGTGAACGAAACGAGGCCTGGACTGGGGAGGCCTCTGCCCAGAGGAAGCGGCAGACAGGTAACCGGGGCCCGGAACGGCGGCGGCGAGTGCGGACACAGGACCGGGCACACCAGGCCCGGTGGCCCCGGCCTCGGCCTGCAGGGGTGTGGTGAGGGGCGTGGAATGGCTTCCAGCTGAGCACAGCAGGAGAGCGGGGGAGCAGGGAAGGTCACCGCAGGTGGAGAGGGGCTGTGGAGACCCGCGCTGGTCTGGTCGGGCAGTGTCGCGGAGGGCGGGATCCCAGCGCTGGCCGGGGCAGTGGGCCTCAGGCCCGTTTACCTGGCTCTCACCGGGGAAGCCAGCAGGCCTGCATGTGCTCGCTGGGCGAGCAGGCAGGCTGCTGTTCTGACGGCGGCAGACGGGCCTGCCGCAGGCCTTCACGGCACACAGAAGTGACGGGTAAACGGCAGCAGAAGAGGAACCGCAACATCGCTGAGCGTGAGCGAGGGAATGGAGACAAGGCTGAGTCAGGCCGACCCGCCTCCGTGGAGGCTGGGCTGCAGCATCCGTGACAGGCGCTGGGAGCTGAGGCCCACGGGTGCTGGCCCGGGGCGGGCGCCGAGAGTGCCGAGAAAACCAGACCCAGGGGCGGCTGGTGTTGGGACAGGGACCAGGGAGACCGCCAGCGTATGTGGCGGAGTGGAGGCTGTCCCCTACGCTTGGAGACCCTCAAGCCTGCGCGGCGTGCGCTGAGGAGGCTGAAGGCAGGCACCAGGCTCCGGGACGCCCAGCGACAGCTGCACTAGCCTCAGGCTAGGGACCCACGGGCGTCCCAGGCCCTGGCAGAGCAAGGGCAAAAGCAGAGGGAGGTCACGGCCGCGAGCGGGGCGGGTGCGAGTCCCACAGGGAAAACCGCTCCTGCCAGGCCAGGTGAGGCTGTGAGCCGCCATGGCGGTGAGTTGATGGACCCGACGGCGGGGACCAGCACCCTCAGGGCGGGAGAGCACCCCACGAACTCGAGGAGGCCGCAGCATCGGCATGATCAGGTCACTGAAGAGGTCAGGGGGCAGATACCGTAATGGAAAGCCACGGCACCAAGAGCAAAACTCAAAGTCACGGTAATTACCCAGCGTTTCAATGGAACCTCTGAAATTTAAAGATGAAAACCAAACATGGCGTTAAACCGCTGCAAGGTGATCTCGCGAAGGCGCCCCCAGCACAACATTCGCTGGGAAGGAGGCGGAGAGAGCAAGACCGAGCGTGGGTCTCCAGCTACCCTCTGGGGCCAGGGCTGAGAGGGAGCCGGACGGCCTCTGAGACAGGCGAGAGGGGGTCCCCAGGTGCCCCGAGACACCACGCTCTGCCAGGCCCAGTGTGCCACACAAACGCTTTCTCTGGAGGCCTCGGCAGGCAGCACATTTATGACCCCGGAACTCGCCTTCCATGTGGCTTCTCTGGTAAGCTGGGGGCAGGCCGGGGCAGAAAGTGGCCCCTCGGAGCTGCAAGGCGTGCCCTTTGCTGACCCTGTCCCCGGAGAGCAGCGCCAGGCCAGCCTGGGGCCCCCTCGGGCCTGGAGATCTCGCTGCCGCCACAGCCTCTGGGCCCGGGGCTGCCCCTGCCGTCCGGCCAGCACCAGGGCTGAGTGTGATGCCAACGGGGTGGCAGTGACGTGTCAGGCAGCTGAAGGTTTACGTTGCTCTCACGGCCCAGAGCGGCGTGCGCTGCCGGCCAGGGGCCGGCAGGTGCATCCCTGCTCCCTGGAGCATGGGGAGCCTAGCGTTACGGGGAGGTGCGGTGAGGGCGCCGACACAACAGTCTAGAAACTCTGGAACTTTCTTCCGGAAATAGTGCCACCAGAGGTGATGACAGACGCCCGCCAACCTTCCCGAAGCGATCACCTAAGCGTACGCGTCACCCACTTGGGTACCTCCTATGCGGAAACCAGAGTAACGGGATGGACGTGGATGAGACTGGGTCCCCAGACAACCAGGCCCCACCTGCGCCCACACCAGAGCGAGAGCTCTGGAGGGGCACGCCACCCCCACCCCTGAGGTAAAGTA